ATATCTGTACATTTCCCTAAATACGTGTATACATATACAGTATATATATATATATGTGTGTGTGTATACAGTATATATTATAAATTAAATTATTAAATATAAACAAAAGAATAATAGAATAAATCTCCGAAAAAAGGATAAAAAAAACAATAAATTAATGTAATTATAACTACCTCATAATCTCACAGTTGTTAACATTCAATCCTCTTTTCGGCATTGCTCCGATTCCACGTTGAGGTTCCGAAGAGCCATACTGATCCAACCAATGAACATAGGGAGGTTGTTGAGTTATCTCAAAATATCGAATAGCAGTATCACCCTGTTGAAAATTCGAAAAACAAAATGTATTTTGTTTCTTTTAATGTAAAAAAATAAGATAAAAGTTTACTTACTTTTCCACACAAATAAATCATATTTGTATCCGGGTCGTAAAAAGGAAAAATTACTCCGTTGCTATTGTCGATCTCTTGAATACATATATTTTCTAAATTCTATAAAAAAAAAAGTATATATAAATATTATTAAACTTGTTGTTTTGATAAGAAATCAAATGGGCGTGGCATAAAGAATAATATGATCAATCGCCTCCTTTTATTATTATTATCATTATTATTCCCATTTACTATTTCTCTAATTCGTTAGCTAATCATGGAAAAGTAACGCCTTACCGAGTCCCAAAGAGCGTATTGTCTCTCACTCATTTTAGAGAATCCAGTGGTGAATAGCAAGTTGTTTTTCAAGAAAACCACTTGCGAAGGTTTCGTTCCTTCGTGGGCTTTATGTTCCTGAAAAAAGAAAAGTCAGAGTTGAAACTTAATAATTCTTTAGTTTTGTTTTTTATGAATCAATAAATTTTTTTTATTACTTTAGACCGTAAATAAGGATTTTTTTTTTGGTTTAAAATCTGGCTTTTTTACTGATTTTGAAGTTATTTTACTATTTACTATACTGAAAAAAAATTAATAGTAACTGAAGAGTAAATTGATATGCATGTACGTGGTGTGTAAAAACTAAATTCAATACTAAAATACCTTAACAACTGCACCGGATCTAGGATCTATGATACGGAGCTTCTTGTCTTTGCAGGTAAAAGCAACTAACGAACCATCGTAATTCCAACTAGCACATAGTGGTAAATCAGGTAAAACACCGAGTTCAATAAGAATTTCCTCAGTCCCAACATTCCATATAAAAATCATATTATCAGAGCCTATAATTAAAAGTTTTTTTTTTAAAAAAAATAATCGCATTTCTCGTACATAGCCTATGTAATTAGTATTTCTAATAGGCCTAATGAATAAAGTAAAAGTCTTACCGGCTGAAAGCAATACATTATGTGCCGTTGGATGCCAAGCGATAAGGCCAACACGTCGTTGATGAGCAATTAGAGTTGTAATCGGTTCTTCTAGATTTTTTACCAGTCCTTCGTCCGGTATCGACCAGACCTTTTATAGCAATTTACAGTTTACTTAAAAAGGCAATAAATTGTGTTTCATTGACATATTAACCTTGACGGTACAGTCATCTGAAGCGCTCGCGATTACGTTATCGTTATGTGGACACCATTGAATGTCCAAAACAGCCTTCTTGTGTCCTGAGACTAACGGTATATCTCGTTCTATACGTCCAGTCTGAGGGAAAACAGAATATGAGTAATACATACAGCAATGCGCCTTACTAGTCATAAAATAACAAACCTTTTCAACCGGTAATATCAAAAATGCTCCTCCTCCAGCGGCCTCCGTGATGATCGCCAAAAATTTCGGATTAACGGCACAGTAGGTCGAATCCCAAGCACTTTTCGTAACTCGGATGTTGTCGTAACATTGATCTTTCTTTAGAGCTTGGCCAAATACATGCCGAAATTTACTTTGCCTTACCCGGAACGACATAACCTCTTCTTTGTAACTATTTCGAAAAGATCGCAAACAAGCGGCAAATGAGTTTATCTGAACTCTTATTGAATTCTAATACAACTTAAGCAAAATTTACTTGATCTGACTAACCAACAGTACGGTTCTCCCCAAAATAGGAACTTAGGAAGGCTGTGTCCGACTTCCGGTTTCTACTGTAGATGGGCTCCCCGCCTTATTTTTATCCAGGAAGGGAACCAGTTTTATGTAATGGTTGTTAATAGTAACCTAATAGTTGGCATTTCTAAGAGCAATTTAATGAAAAATTGGAATTATTAGAGGTTGTGAAGAGTATAAAATTTGAAGTTTAAATAGATTAATAAAGCAGTATGTCATATCTTCGGGAAAAATTTGACAAACATCAGTAATAACGTCAGAATTAGGTATTACAATTTTAAAATTAGGACAAAGCTGCAAAAACACCGCAAATTCTTCTGTAAAAAAAAAAAAAAAAACTTTTCCATTTTATAATTTTTTCTTGATAAAAGAAACGCATTCTTACTTTTTCTTTGTTATATAATATCTTTATCAGATTCATATATCACAAAATAATTACTACTAAAACTCGATTTAATTGCATATTTTCTAAAAATAGAACGAAATAAAAAAAATTTATGAGAGAATAATGATTAAAATAGGGAAAAAATAAACAATAACAAAAGAAGAACACAAGTATTATCGGATAATTTAGGTGGGGGAAAAAAAAAGTCCAACTTATCTCTGAACATTTGATAACTTCATTTACTAATAAAACATCATAAAATATAGCAAATAAATGACCATTTTAAATACTAATATATACAATACTGTATATATATATTTATTGTATTAGTATCAATCTATAAATAGATTACAAACTTAATAAACGTAGGTTTTCTAAGTGATAAACTTTTAGAATATAATAATAATAAAAAGATATGTTTCCATTTCTACAAGAATGAACTACCTGGAAAAATGTGAAAAATAACCCAAGTAATAAAAACTGTATCACGCGACATGTTAGAGAGTTTAAAATACACGAAGGAGGGCTTGATCATTCTCAGTCTATCTATGGAAGTGAAACTCTGCGCTACGAACTGTCTGAAGTCGTAAACACTTCGTTGATTATTTATCATCTATATTGTATACGCTGTACATACTGAATCTACGGTATTTATGTATGAAAATTTAAACCTTAATACCATATACAGGCATCTGTTTTATTATCGTTTCTATTAATTAATAGCCGATTGACTATTGTTTTATTGATAGATATATCTATGATATTGAGATAATTCGAAAGGAAAAGATTGAGACTCTATGGCTTCAATGATTAACAAGAAGAGTATGGCGTTCTGCAATGTTTTACTATTCTTTGCTGTACTCTTCGAAGTAAATAAGCTTAAAGGTCCTTAGTTTTTTAAACATTGTTTGTTATTATTTATTCATATATAAATGATAATCTATTAGGGTATTTAACTAAAGATGACCGAAGAATATCGTTACGCCGAAAATTCAAGTCGAAAGAAAAATTATGCATCTTCCATTTTCACGAAGCAAACTTAGGTAACCCAGGGAAGAGGAGAGGGCTTTCGGACGAAGACAGCAGAGCGTCTAATCGATGTAGAAAATGTTTTCAATATCATCCATACAACATGTCACTGCGCTCTTTTAATACGATCGATTACACATAAATAGGATGTTTTCTGGTTAATATTTTACTCTGTTACAATATAATCTATATAAATTATAACTAATACACTTTGATTTAACCCCAAGCAAGAAAAATGTTTTCTTGTCTTCTCCTAAAATTATTCTCATAGTAGTTCTATCTTTTCCTAAAAATATCTTTATTATTCTTTTCATCTTTGCAGTAATACATACTCTCCATGAAATATTGATTTTTATCATCATTCTGATTAAAATGAAAGTGCATCAGTGTGTATTCTCCAACGAATGAGATAATTAATTAAACAGTTTCATCATTAATGTAAAATCATTTACTAAAACCTACTAGTCAGCTTTAAGATAACACAAATTAACTTCAATGGTTGGATAGAGAATCAACAAAATCTCCTTTTTTAATCCTACATTATACGTTATATATATGTTCTTATCATCTTGAACCAAAAAGCCAATTGAAAGTAGGATGAATTATTTATATACTTATTCTTATTTAAATATTAATTTCATGTTCTATAAAAAGTATACAAGTATACTTTATTTCTATTGCACATATAATGTTTACGCTTTTTCGTAGATGTAATATAAAGTATCTTAACAAACAATTGTTGTATTAATATCGTTAATAGTATATTTATTTTATAGAATTGAATAAAGTATGTAGTTTATGGGTCTACAACGTATGGACGTACATTGATATACTAGCCAGATAATACAACATATACTATACGCATTCACTACAAATATTTATCCATGTATACACTAATACTTTAACGATTAATACAATATTTATGGAATAACAAAATTTACAAATACTCATTATATGTAGGTCTTTTTTTTGTTTAGAAAGGAGAGATTACAACATAATTAAGATAGTTTGCCATAATAGTAACAAACATAGACTTTATACTAAGGTTCTCTTTTAAACAGTAAATAAATTGAATCCTGAACAATTTCCCAGTTTAAATTCAAACAAAGACAAAAACTACTAAACTTTTAAGTTTACATTTAGGATTAGATTATGTGCATTAAATGTAGCTTTCCAAAAATTGGATATAGGTAGGTTCGTAGATAGAGAGACGAATATATAGATGTACATACATGGAGAGATAGATTGAGAAATATACACGCACAAACATAGATACTATCATAATAGACCTTGTATACATTTAATGTATATTCGTTTAGCGTCATTTTACGGAATGACCTTCAACGAAGATTAAAGCTCTTTCAGTGGATGCTCTTTTCTTTCCCTTATGATTAATAATGGGAATTACAATGTATTATTATGAATTATATAATAATAAAGATAAATAATATTGAGGTAGGGGAGGAATTTACATAAAAATTTCAATCACCGGGAGTACAATCTTGACTTGAATATTCTGCTACTAGAATAAATCCACTAGGTGGATCTCTTTCGATCTTATCAATCGCCGATTCTATATTCTAACAAATTCATATCTTTTTTTTTGCCAGCAGATGGATCCATGCTGCTAACTCGGAAAGAGGAATTTACAATTTTAGCCAGAAAAACAGAGTATAGTTAGGACTATAGTGTAGATGGTAATTTTCAAGGCGTGTTCTTTCGCATTTCTTTTCTCATTAACATATCTGAATCAACGAAGACGAATCGTTGTTAAAGATACAACACAATATACAATATATTTGGTAATTTTATAGGCCAAAAATATATTTTTAGACGCCTGTTTAGCTATAGCTAAACGGGAAATTGGCAGATCAGTCCAATTCTTTTTTGATAGAAATCTTGGAATCTATTTAAACAGTCGAGTTCTTTATGAATGTAGAAGTTAGTATAAAAGAAAATAACTTACATCAAGTTTTCTCCAGAAATTTCATCATCTCTTTCCTTCTTTTTCTGGACTTTGACCAGCCGCCTTGCGAGAGCCGAAAAGGCAACTGGCGCTGATAAAGGCAAACAACCTATCTTAAGTATCTTTCCATGCGGACATAAATTAGCATATCCACTCCTGATTGGTCCTATGAATACGTGTCCTAAAACTAGACAAAGCGCCACGTTGCTTTGTTAAGATCTGTAAAAATGAACTTTGCTCGTCTGAAATTACACATTTTTACCTTTTCCAATATCATTAATAATCATAGAAGTCTACTGCCCGGCCACGCCCTCCCTTAGCGTCCTTGAGCAAAAGACTTTTAGAGGAAACATGACGACTTGATAGAAATACAATTTACATCCTTGTCTGAACAAAATTAGATAAATAATTATCTGAAAGATGACAGCCTTGAAATTTTTTGTCCAAATTCGATTTATTTTCCTTTTAATAAAAATACAAAAAAGTCTCTTCCCCTCTCCAAATATGAAAGATATTTTCGATTACGTCTGACAATGAAGATGAGAAATTTTTTAACGATTTAAAAACTGCTGGGTTTTCCTTTTTTTGTTCAAACAAATACCATACAATTTCCTATTATGTAAGATGGTTTATTAAATATTTTCTTTTAAAAAAAAAACAAAGAAGAACGCTGAGATCTTCTAAACGTATTTTCTAAACATCTTAAATTTATCTATATATGAATATTTGAATATTTAAAAGAGTTTAATTATTTATTACACAAACTAAGAAAGAAATGCTTTGTTTTTCTTTAAATATTTATTAATTGTATCATAATATAACTTATTTTTTTTTTGATATTGTTAAAAGATAGAGTACAAAAGTAAAAGAAATAGTTGAAAGTCGGAAAAAGTATGTTATTTCATCCTTGAAACATTTGTTTCTTTTATGTTTGTATACTCCATACAAAAAACAGATAAAATTAGGGGGTTATCAGACAGGAACAAATACAGTATATATATATATATATATATATATATATATACTGTTGTGCGTATGAACTGACGGCATACGCCCTCGATATCTCTTATTTCCATAATAAGTTCTTTAACCTTCTTTAACATTTTCTTTTGATTTTGTATTTGAATTTAGGTTAAGGCAACCATTTTTATTGTAGAAGGTGATTTTTAAATGGAGCATTAGATTTAATCATAAATAGAATTTCCGTAGCAAGGTTTTTTCGTGTTTTTTCTTATATTTTATTAGTTAAGTGTTTACAACTTGTGCCAATTTAGCGAACATTAATAACTCAAGGTGTAAAAAATTTCACCCTAAACCTTTCGGATAGATAGTATAGTTATTTTCTGTCTATCTCTCTCTCTCTCTCTCTTTTTCAAGAAGTCAATCTTGTTTCTTAGCCATATTTTCAAGGTATTTGCAATAGTAGGTTTTCTTTCGAATTGGTTGCTTAAAAAATTAATAGTCATACAAGATTCTGTCGATATTAAAATGTTAAAATTTCAGTCTACAACCTAATGTACGATCGCATTAAAAGGTTTCACCATTCTTATCGTCAGGGTTCAAAGGTTCTCATCTCTTAGGCTCTCTCAAATAAGAATAACAGTTTAAAATTACACATATTTTAGGCGTTGGCTTAAATAAGAAAAAAAAACGGCTGAAGAGATAG